CGTGCCCCCATGTCTGGTAGCTGTGCTCGTAGCTATGCAGCTTGGGCAGTGTGTGGGCAGAACTTGGTGAATCACAGAATCAATCTCTTAGCTTAGCTTTAACGCATCCGAAACAATCTATCAATCCTGGACCCTCCCGGCTACGTGCAACTCCCACCAGAAACAAGATCCATCTATTGTTATTCCAAGGTCTGCCTCAATGGAAGTTGCCGCCGCTGAGGCAAGCTGCAGCCGGCATACATGACATCGCCCGGCAAATACTTTGCATGTATCCTCACCAAGGCAGGAGCCACAATAGATTTGGACGCTACTAGGGGCTCCTGGCCTTACTACTAGGAGCAAGGACGCTACTAGTGGCTGTGCATTCTCAAAAGCATGCATGGGCCAACGTCGTGCTGGCCTCCGAGCACCATCTTCAGGACTCTCTCTATCTTCAGCAACCTTCAGCCCACTGAGCCTATGCAAAACAGGCGGCACAAAGTCTGAGGAGCGACACTAAGTGCAGCTGCCTTCCAGTTTTCACCACAGAGATAACGGACATGCAATCCCCTTCTGAGCAGACCTTAGAAAAACAACAATAAACAGTTTGCCAGCCTTGCAGCATGTTGAACCTTCCGCTAGCAGTTGAACTGACACGTCCCTCAGCCTCCAACGCGATCACCAGCTTGAAAAGCCTGCAAGAGAGTTGTGCGCTGTACGGAAAAAAGCATTAAAGTATATAGAACTAACAGACCAAGTGAACAGGCGGCCAGCTCACCAGAAAAAGAGAACTGCCCATCCTTTTGTTTCCCAGGCCGAGCTGGGGGAGGCGAGGCAAGCTTAGCACCGCATACGGACTTGGAGAAACTTGGGAAAGTTTTCCCGACCCCTCGGTCCAAATGGCACCTGCACCCGCACTGGAAGCTCGGAGAGGCGAGCCTGGCGATTTCAGGCACAAACGGCGCAAGCCAGTGATCCAGGATGAAAACGCAAGAAATCATGTTTCTCGGCAACAACTACACCTTTTCATACCTTTTCTGCATCCTGATCGTAGATAGAAAATGTAGATCGCTAAAGCAAAATGCAGCTTCTCCTTCTGCTTCTCTGGCAGGAAGTCGAACAAATGGATTCTGTCGATAAGTTTCCTCACTTTGCAACCAAAAAAGGCATGAGTCAGCATCCAAATCAAAGTGCCAGCGAGGATCCGATTCTCAGCATCGTGCCTGCAAGGGCACGAAGACCGAACACAACAACAAAGAGATGACATCCCTTTTCCTCATCATGTATATCCCCGACCCCTGCTTTGGCGAAGGCAGGGGCGGCGCCTGGGACCACCGA